TTCTCAAATGTGGCTACTCGCAAAAGACTCTTGATTAGCATCAAAATGCAGTTTGAAAGAGGTTGATTTTTTTTTTTTTTTTGAACAAATTGTTGGAAAGAGGTTGATTAGTTCTTACTGGACAGCAGTTTCACGTGGAGTTGAGGATCAAACAGGCTTTAAGTCATCAAGTGTGGGGTGTATACTCAAGTACATATCGGTTATACAGATTGTGGGACCATTTAGATTAACTGTTTTTTTTTTTTTTTTAACCAGTGGAAAATTTGGGGATGAGAGAATAGTTACAAAACTGCTGCACTAACAACTTGAATCCTTGATAAAGAAGCCAAGGGCGTTAATGCACTTCCATCGCGGATAAAGCCGCAAGTGCATTTAGATTAACTGTTTAAATTTAACAAATGAATGATAATTAATAATTGATAATTAATAATTAATAGTTATTATTATTAATAATTAGTGTTTGACAATAGAATCACTAATATTTTTTAATAAAATGTTAAATTATCATTAAAAATATATTTCATATTAGTTAAATTACTTATCCATTTAATATGATTGTGGTTTTAAGATTTTTTATTTTATTTTAGTTTTTAAAATTCAAGCAATCAAAATTAAAAATAAAAAAATAAAAATTACCAACTTATTAGCTGTAAAATTTTAAAAACAAATACTTAAAATTCTAAACTTAATTAATTTATGAGATTATTTAATTTTAATCTAACCTTCCTAAAATTTTGAAAACCAAAACTAAAAATTCATAATTATAACCATGCTAAACAAAACTTAAAATTTATCCCTTTTCAATAAGATAATAATAATATCACTTATTTTAAATTTCAAAAAATATAAAAAATAAATAAAATACTCATGGTTATTTCATTGCGCAATTCATGTTAATAAATAAGAATAATAATATCCCTTTCTTTGACACCCTAATTTTCCATTGCTTTCTAAATTCTCTCAGCCTCCTAAAACCCAATTTTTGTTCACAATAACATACAGCTGGATTCCCCATGATTACAGATCGGTGCCAAGTTCTAGGAGGTCAGTGCAACAACCAGATCGGCCCTCACATCGAGGGAGGCCAATGCAGCAACCAGATTGGTGCCAAGTTCTAGGAGGTGAGAAAATAATTGTATGGTATGCCATTAGCATGTGGGGATGCGCTGGTAGATGTTTCTAGCTTACTTTATTCCCAATCAGCCTTTATCTGGATTGCCCTCTGATGACGAAATTAGGTGCCTCATCATCTGAAGCAACCCACTTGCTTTTGAGAATAGGGTGGAGCACTTCTCCATCTCTCATCCTAATAATTATGTTTGTCTGCTGGAAAAAAATTTAGGGTTTATATGGGTATTTTCTCAACTGCAAGTGTGCCATTCTGCTTGCTGGGGGAATTGGATCTGGTTGGAAACTTTTCTAATTTTCAAGATTAGGGAGGAAACAACCATCGTTGTTGGTTGTTTAGACTATGCGTTAGAAGAAATGCAAAATACTACTTGAATTTGTTAAGGAGGAGATTTTAATAGATTAAGTTAAGGGCATAGAACTTAATAAATAATTAAATAATTAAATCAAAAATGCTTTTGGATCCAACAGCTACCTCGCAAAGCTTTCTACCAAAAAAAAGCTACCTTGCAAAGCTGTTGGAAAACACAAATGTTGAGTGTCTCAATATCCATTAGCTGATTTCTAACAATTGACAAAATTTTTTTTGTCAAACACCAATATTTGACTGATTAAGGTCCAACAGTTATCAGTGGCCTCCTAACCTTCAAATCAAACAACCCCTACTAATTTTTTTTTATGTACATCAAAGGTTAGTGGTGCTAATAGATTTTATTTTATATTGTAAAATAAAAAATAATTTTTTATTTTTTAATTTATTTTACTTTATATATTATGTGATTTGAAATTAAAATGTTTTATTTTTAATGAAAAAAATTATTATTAAGATATTTAAGTTTTGGGAAGAACGAAGACAAAAATTTAGCGAGAAATCTTAGCTTGTTTAAAAAAAAATCCAATCGTCAAAATCAATAAAAAGGCCATCATGTTGGCATTTTTTTTTTTAAGTGTAGTTATGGATTATTCATGTGATTAACAACTACGTCTATAGTATTATTTTATCAGAAAATAATGTAACCCATTAGTCCTCTCATGAATCATCTTGATGATGCCGCATGTTAAGCAATTTCAGATCCATTACGTTGGCTACCATCCATAAAGAATGGGGTTGTAATAAGAAATAATTCATGACTCCCGAGGGCATCTTTTCATGAATTATCAATTTTGTTTTTGTATGATTTCTATATGTATGTACCAAACGTAGTGGTAGCCATATCTTATATATTATTGAAATATTTATATTTTTAGAGATTAATGTGTAT